AGATCACGTCTATCTAGTAATAGATAATTATAACAAGCTTAGGACTATTAACTCAAGGAGGCGATTGGGCAATATTGTCTCCTCACTAATTAGTGGGCATTTTATTATAATTCTTGCGTCATACATATCATGTCCATAGTCGGCGCAGATTGCTTACCATCTCATCAGGTGAACCAAACAATATCCGCACTCCATAGACGGTAAGCTTTTCTAAAGGCGGTTGGCTTATTTTTCCTTTCTAAAAAACTTCGTGATGTTACAATATGAACATCAGCATAAAAACTCTTAAATTGAAATTATCTAGATGGGGTGATGAAAATATGCGCATGGTTTTAATGTCACAGTTTAAATAAAAGAGACCATTCAATTTGTAATCCAAACTAATCCAAAACCAAACTAACATTATTAATGCGAAAGTATATCTGTCTGTCTATTTTTTCTTCACGCCTGAACTATTGAACCTATTTGTGTGAAATTTGGTATAGACATTGCTTGGAACTCGAGAAGGGACATAGGATAGTTTTTAAACCGAAAACCAAGAAGTCACTATTCAACGCGAACAAAGTCCCGGGCAAAAGCTAGTTATTAATAATATGTAGCACTATACAAATGTCATAAGTGGACCCATGCCCAAAAAACACAAGTGCAAGGTAACAAAAAAAAATACTGCCATACACTACCTAATCGCTAAAAGTCTTAGGTCTTACAATTCCCATACAAACAACTGTTAAAACTGTATGGAATGTATGGTTGTCGTAAACCGTTATTTTCTGCTTGGTTTCTTTCCCACACATCTTAATTATAACTTTAATGTACTACTAACCTAAGATTCGAGTAGGTAGTTAGAATCAACATCTTTTTTTAATGTTTGGCCCATATTCACATTAAGTAAGCCAAGTTACTTTTTGATGTAGGAAAATCATCCTATGTAAAATAATGTTTACTATTATGTTTTCGGCTTACTCACGTAATAATTTGACGAGATAGGTACTCGACTAGTTTCAAGCCATGCTAGAGGCCCCTATTCATGAGCACCATTCCGCGACACACGACTCGGCGACTGTCGCGCTGCTACTGAATGTGAATATGGGCCTCTAGCATGGCTTGAAACTAGTCGAGTGTCTCGTCAAATTATTACGTGAGTAAGCCGAAAACATAATAAATAATTTAGAATGTCTCACGAAAGTTATAATAAAATAATGTTTATTTTTTTGTTTAACTACCTACCGTATATAGAGTTTTACAAGTCACAAACAAATGATTACCATTTTTAAATACAATTATATATTTAAAATTTACTTTTATTATTTAATCTATTGATAGGTAGGTAATTATTTATTTTTCGATATTTCGGTAAAAATATGTATTAAGATGTCATAAGTTGCATTATTTTTACACAAAAAGCAAAGTGAATAATGGTTTTAACATTTTTTGATAAAACTATTGAGTAAACTTACTTTGTAGAAAATCGTAATCACACGTAGTTTCTAACTACATGGAAATGCTACTATAGCTGAATTGATAAAGCTAAATAAGTAATAAATAACACAGTCAACTCTTCGACCCATCCCGGAAAAAAAGAACAAAATGTTTTCGCACTGAAAGGAAAATGGCCTAGTGTAATTCGTAAAATGTCCAAGTAATTACTTCTTTTATTTGTTACAACGGGCAATGCGTAGCCAAGTTATAATTATGACTTTACTAATTAAAACATAAACATCTAGTTTCGAGCGGGCCCAATGTGACCGCGGCCCGCACGCGATAGTAAATTAATTATCATACCTACATACATACTAATTATCTTTTGCATACTATTAGTCAGAGTGCAATGTTTTTTTATTTGTTTTATTCCATATGTAAGAATATTATATTTTAACTGTGTCCAAAAAGGTTGAGGTTATCAATTTTTAGTCTTAGAGCTTGTCTATACAAAGATATCAAATTCGCGCGGATTTATTATCGCCTCGCGTCATCGCGTCTACTTGAAATTACATTTTTTCGCGCGTTTTTTTATCGCCTATCTAAACGTTATGTAGATTAGTTTTACTTTAATATTTTTGTAGAACAAGTATCAAATACTTACAGTGTAAAGAAAATATAATGCAAAATAGGTAATTTCTCAAATATTAATGCAAAATAAGTAATTTCTCAATTTTAATGGTAACTAACAATTGATCCTCATCAACAAATAATGCTTAATCATGTTTTTCAACACAAAACTCAAGATTTTTTAAATCACTTTTCTTCAACTTATCTAGATAAACTTTACTTGAGCACAATACAAGCGAAAAGATGACTTTAATACCTGATTAGTTATAAATAACTTAAGTACCTATTAGTTGGCAAGTACCTAATTAAATAGGTACACCATTTTTTGTGTCTTTTATGCGTCCCAGACGCGAATAAATACTTTTTCTTTCTTTTTTTCTTTCTTTCTATTTACTGGTGACACAAAAAAACTGAGAAAATAAAACATAGCCTAGGCTACAAATGTAGCTTTCCAATGATGTAAGAATTTTGAATGCAGTGAAGTTGGTTTTGCATTTGTTAATTATAAACATATATATATATACTCTGATTATTCCATAGTAAGTTGTTGGAATTTGAGAATATGCCCAATTTAATAATTTACTTAAAAGTTGAGGTGCTAAAATAAAAAAACCCCTTGTATACAGTACATACATGGACAGAATCGAAAATCTGTCTTATCATGTGTTGTTAGCAAAATAAAAATAAAATACAAACTAATATTATAAATGCAAAAGCAATGCTGTCTGCATGTCTATCAGTCTTTCTTCCCACCTAAACTACTGAACCTTGTGTGAAATTTAGTACAGACATTGTTTGAAACCCGATAAAGGACAAAGGATAGATTTTTACCAAAAATCTGCAGTTAGTCAATATTCTATGCGAACAAAGTCGTAGGCAAAAGCTAGTATGCAATAAGAAGGACCAATTAGTTACCACATAACAAAATGTCTAGTTCTTTATTTAATTCCATTTTAAGCTCTAGCTTATTGTTTGGCTTTTTGTGGCAAAGTATGTATTGTCCCTATCGTTAGTGGTATGTAGGCTTGCATCATGAATGTAAATATGTGTAAATATTTTAAACTTCTTTATTAAAATCACCTTGAAAAATGATGACACAAAATACACACCTATGTACATAAACAACATAACTAAAGGAGTATTTTAAATAAAATAAACAATTGCAAATTATGAATTATTTTTTAAACTTGTAGGTAATGGACTAAGATAATTTATGCTACATAGACAAATACTTTGAGAAGGAATTACTTCTTGAATACTTTTTGCTTTTCTTCATAAAGTATTGTATTTTTTTAATGATTGTTTCAAGAGATTTATGTCTCTTAATAATGCCCTTTTTCTGAATCAAGTGTCTTACTTTACATCAAAAATTAACTGATACTTAGGATATTAATTTATGTCTTATTGGGGACAAACCCAAACAGTACCACAACCTCTTTTAAATAAATAGGTAAGTATTGTTTGAAATTTTAAATTGGGAATTCACATAAATCTATTATATAGGTACTTAATTTTATTTGTTTCTTGTTAAGGAAAGAGAGGTTATAGAACCAAAGTTTTGTAAGTCTTTTGAACTGTTGATCTATTTTCTGGTAAATTTTAATAGTAAAATAAGAGAAAAAACAATGGAGAATGTTTCAATTTAATAATTTATTTAAAATATAAGTCATTTATATTCAGATGTTGCTTATTTGATTAAATAAAACATACTGTTGCAATGAAACTGTTGTTTTTACTGGTCAACTACTAGTTAAAAAATGGTCAATCATTAAATCCCTCTGGACAACTACAGGCGCATTAGCTGAAATTTTAATTCATTAATTAATAATAAAATAATGGTAAAACTAAATTAAAATTTCATGAGTTTATATTGATAAATAACTAATTTTTAATGTACACAAAAAATAATCAAGTCAAAATTTCTAGTAGACATTTAGAAAACATTTTTTTTGTATTGAAATCTGCCTTAATTGGTCAACTACTGGAGCGTTCACCCTAAAAACATTCTGATGAGAGATGAGATGGGTCATGATGATAATGATGAGGGATGATGATTAGGGAACTAAATACAAGAAACACTTTTTGGATTTAAAGTAAAATGATACATTCATGAAAATGGTTATTAAAAAATTCAGGTTTGATTGGTTCAGATTCAGAATTTAGTTGTATGGTTCCACTGCACAAACATTATATGTATTATTATGTATAATATAGATAATACATCAAACATATAATATGTATTATAAGTTAATAAAAGGCTTGCAAATTTTGTGTTTATATAGCTATTTATTTTACTCAGCTGAAACTGTTTTAATAAACAGTTTAGTCATTCAAAACTCATTCAGTTTCATACATTAATATTAAATACTTGCATGACTGAACAGTTTAATCAATAACAGTGTAGATAAAGTGATAATAATCTTTATTAATGGTTACAGTATGTGCAATCAGGCACAACATATTGCACTTATTCACTCAGATGTTGCAAAAATATTTGCAACAAAATGTATTGATATTATAATAAAACAGTATTGCAAAAATTATGAGTGTATAGTTTATCAATACAAAATCTAGTATTTATTTTTTTTAAAAATTCAAACCACAGATAAGATTTTTTTTCTTCTTATTGCAAAGGTAATGGGTAAAGGCCTTTTAAGGTTAATGATAGTACCAATACAAGCAAATATGTGTATTGATAACAATGAAATGATCATGTAGGTCACAATGTAATTAAAGTTTTGTAATCATAACACGATCGTAAGGTAGAAGATAATGATACGAGCCTTCTTACAGTTTGGCGCACAAACATGCTCCACCAATGAGGAGCAGCCGTTCATTCACGCCCTCGCAATTAAATTGACAGCAGATAAACCTTGAAAACACTACGAAACCGCGCTCCAATCTACCCATTTCACACATTCGCAAACCATAATATTATTAATTTCACCGACCTTCAGCGCTCTGGTTCAGCGACAATGGCGCTCCAGTGGACGACAGATCCTTCTTCTGTCCGAGTTTAGGCGGATCAGAGTCTGAATCGTCGAACACAAGTGTCCGGACAGACTGGGAACATCGGCGATCCATCGTAACTATCACAGCACAACACACAAATGCACTAAAATTTCCCCCATCTATCACCCCCTAAACAATTCAACGAATTCACGGTCTATTTACATGACACAGTTAAGATAAAATGTGCGTATCCATCGACGTAAGATCAAGGTATTCATAAACGATTGTGAATGCAAATATTTTCTATGTCATGATAAATAACGCGATACACGACTTCGCACAAATCGAAAAATGACACTTTTGAAGGGCTCACTGCGTATTGCCATAAACAGAAAGGTAGTCCCCGATATTGCCAGTAATAAAATTTAAACCCGAATTCTTGGAAAAAAATCAAAACAAAAGCATTTATAGGGTCTTCTTCGTTATTGAATAAAATGGTTTTCAAATAGTCGTAGAACGCTTAAGCGAAATTCAAAGCGTGATTTAATAAATTAAAGTATTTTAATTTAATTTAAATTGATTTATGGATACAATAAATAATTTTAAATTTCAAAAAATAGTTTCAATGAAAAAAATTAATATTTTTAGTATCGATTCTCTAGCATTATTTCTAAAGAACAAAATAATAGGGAACTTTAAACTTTATAATATATAAATGGCCACACTGACTGCGTTCCAGTTACACTTAGATGAAAGATGATTTATTATAGGAACATGTGAATATACAATAATAAGTAAGAATATAAGAGTTTTTTGTATGAAATTATTTATCGGTGGTAAAAAAAATTAGCTTAAGAATATTTTTTATTTTTCTATATTTGGTAGGACAGCCAACGAGCAGATCGATTACCTGATGATAAGCTATTGGCACCGCCCGTGTACACCCGCAACACCAAGAAAGTAACGAGCCTTTTGAAGATTAAGATTTTGGACATTTAGGGCTAAAGGAGGGAAGATTGGGCTTCTGGTAACCAATGTGCCGGTTTTCTGTGAGACCGTGGTATAACTCCATTCGAGCTTAAGATTCACATCTGGTCCATTAACTCTCAGACATTAAATCTATATAATTATATATATAAAAGAAAGTCGTGTTAGTTACTCCACTTATAACTCAAGAACGGCTGAACTGATTTAGCTGAATGTTGGCAGGGAGGTAGTCTAGAGCTAGGAGAAGGACATAGAATAGAGTAGGTCGTGTAGATTAGGTAGAGTAGGGTAGGTAGAGTAGGGTAGGTAGAGTAGGGTAGGTAGAGTAGGGTAGGTAGAGTAGGGTAGGTAGAGTAGGGTAGGTAGAGTAGGGTAGGTAGAGTAGGATAGGTAAAGTAGGGTAGGTAGAGTAGGGAAGGTAGTGTAGGGTACATAGAGTAGAGTAGGTAGAGTAGGGTAGGTAGGGTAGGTAGGGTAGGTAGGGTAGGTAGGGTAGGTAGGGTAGGTAGGGTAGGTAGAGTAGGGTAGGTAGAATTGGGTAGGTAGGGTAGGCAGATTAGGGTATGTACTCTAATGACGGGAGCGACGCCGCTGGTAAGAGCTAGTTTTAGTTAAAAATGTCAAAGATAATGCGTTATTTCTTTTCTTTGACAATTACAGTAATATTTGAAAACCATAGTTGTAACTCCCCTCCTGGCATTACAGGTGTCATTTGGCGTCATTGGCAGTTTACTTGTTTGTCTCATATAGTCACACATTAGGACTTCCGTTTGTGTATAACAGTTTAAAAGAATTCGATTTTTTAAATAAAATGCACTGCTAAATTCCCATTAAAGCAATGGTGCACTGTTACAAGTCGTTAAATAATTACCAGTCAACTTTATGCATTGCAATTATTATACATATTTATATAATCATATTATTATCTCAGCAGTACTTCACTACTACACATCTATTGTCTATATAATAAGATATCAATGAGTTAGTTAAAATTTAGAAATGTGCAAAGTAGTTGAAAGCTACGCTAAAAAGCTAAAAACTTCTGGGAGTTCTTCGTTTTCTTCGATTCTTACTTTTCAGTTTACACTTTGATGTGTAAAAATTTTATAATGCTCAAGATCATGAAAAGGTTACATGTGATTCTGTAGTGGTATAAAATGTTTTTTGTTTCTGGTATTACCGCGTATTAACAGGTGTAAAATCCTACATCCTTTTTTTTGTAATTAATTTCTGCGGCATCTAGTAGAATTTGATGAAAACTACAGTAACATTTTTGTACCAGACTAAAAAAAATATATTTGATGACAGGTAAATGTTGCCAAGCTTTTGCCCGGTTACATTAGTGAAATCAAATAGTTACTCCGTATTTTTAATGGAAAATGTATTAGCGTATTAATTATGAAAATAACTTATCAAATAAAAAAATAGCTTTTCCACAAAACCGAAAAACAACGAAGAAAAATCTCAGATTAGTGCGCCATCTAGTGACACATTTTGTCAAAATAAACTTGTTCCGTCAAAAGAAACGGAAAAACACGAGTGTGCGTCGCCTCGGTAGATATCAGTTGAATTATTCGGCTAAAATGCCCTGGCACGGGCATACGTAGTCGTCGGTCCGCCATTACGACGCAGCCGAAGACACGTTCGTCGTATTTAGTTAAATATTTTCGTTTATAAATGAGTAATAACGCTCATGAACTAAGTAATCGACTACTGAATGCGTTGGATAACAATTACAATGTAAGTTTCAGAGTTTTGACAATCGTAAGTCCGATAAAATGAGTTGAGATACGAAACGGTCCACGAGCCCATGACACCCGATTCGATGTTGCGATTCGGACACTCGCGAGGTTGTCTCGGGAGTGCCTTGTGCTGTGCTATGATCACGAGATGTGTTGATAACCGTCCAAACAATAAATTGAAATATAGTGCGGATCGCGGAGCGGAAACGGACCGTGTGGATACGTGAGCGTGCGAGTTAGAGGGGCCACTGACGTCGCCAGCCCGCCGCCCCGTCCCTCCGTCCCTAGTGCCAAAAATTTTGCAATGTGAAAGTATGAAGAATTGTGCCACGCGCGACCTTTCCCGTTTATCTTCTCTGCTGGTGTGACTAAGCGACTGGCTGCTGCAAATATGTATTTTTTTGTACTGATTGACCTTACGTGAGTACGAACTTAGCTATAGGTGGTGTGGCGGCACCTGGCGCCCCGCGTGCCGTATGCTGGTCCTCATCACGCGCTTACCTTCTCTGTAGCCTGTATTTGTTGGCCTGTTCATGTTTGCTGGTTGTGCAATAAGCAATTGGTCGTTATTTAAATGACAATTTAGCACACTCGTGGTATATTTCTTGCCTCGGTCTGTTGCTAAGGCCTGCCTGGTTGCAGGTGTATTGGCTAATTCCAAAAGTCACTGTTGTTGTCAATTGTTTAAAACTTTATTTTTATCTTGTTTATCAGTGTGCTATGATTATTTTAATGTTGATTACTCATTATTTATGAATACAGTTTCTTTCCTTGTATAGTCTTGGTTAGGCTTGGCAGGTGGTATTTTAATATTAGTCCTGGATTGTGGTATTTTTAGGTTATTATTGACATGGCATTTCTTGTTCAAGTTATGTTGAACAATCTTCATTGGGTGTTCTGAGGGATTTATTTCAAGTTTATACAGTGTGATGCAACATTTATCCCAATCTCATTGTAGGCATGAATTTGTATATAGTTTAAGATATAAAGACTGAAATCAATTGTTTCAGTCTGAAACAGCTGACTGTGTAGCAAGTACATTAACTCGCAGTAAACAACTTGAAACTATAAATAACTTTGCATTTTAGCAAACAGTATTACATTTACATTATTATTAGAACTTATCCTGTTGTCTTCAATTCAATTTATTTGCATCTTCCTCATAATTTTGGTTTTGCAGTGAATTCCAAAGAACATAGCACTTTAAATTTAGAAGTAATGATATAAGCATCAGTGAATAGTAATCAAACAAAACTTTGCAGCTTAATTATCACACCACTTTTCATATTTGAAGGGCTAGTTAATAAGACATGTACTATGTACCATGGACATATTCAAGTATTGGATTGAATGAATTGTCCAAGTATCTAGACTAGATCTTCTATCTAGTCTACCTGTACAGAGCTGCTTACAAAGTTTCTTATTTTATCATAAAAAGTATCTAGATTATTAGTATTTATATGTTCAGGTCCCTCATTACAAGCTTTTGCCAGCAATTTCACCTGTATTACTGGATCATGTGTAATTACAACAGAACAGCAAACCCAAATAATTTATATCAAATAAATAAGTATAAGGCACTGTTAAGCTTTAAACATATCCATAGAGAGGTCTCGAGGATTGTCTAGAGAAGCTACTGTTTTGTTCCGAAGTGTAGTTTGTAGTTTAGCTCTAGATAAAAACAAGGAACTTGTTGTAGTTTGTCAAATATTCAATTTTTTCAGTAGTTTTCTATGAAAGAGTAACAAACATACATACATTTATATTTATTTAACTTTAGTAACTAACATATTCCTTTGTAGGATAATGTCATGTGTACTTTAATTTCTGCATTGCATTTCTCATAATCTTATACTTCTTTACCAACCTGTTTTAGGCTTTGCCATGAAATATATCATCATTATTATTGCAAAGGTATAACTTCTTCAACCTACTCTTTGATTCCATTTTTTTTTATAACTGGACCTCCTTTTTTTATTTGATAAAAGTTATAATGTAACTGGCATAAAGTTTGATTGTAATTCACCCTTGGAGTTTGGAACTATAAATTAAAACTGCATGGTTTTATTTATATGTTCCCACATTACATTTGTACAAAGTCATCTAAACAGTTACTTAGGATATACGTAAATACTGATATCAAGTTTCTGAGAAATATGAACCATATTGAGTAAGCAAATCGTATGAAGCAGTACTAACAAAGTTCTGAATGAAATACATTTTAAACTCAAGTTAATTAACTTTTTGTTCCTACAAAGTAAGTTATTTAGTTACTGATAAGTATATTTGAGATTTGTGAATGACTTGATTGTTTTATTTTAATTTGTATGCATACCTTTATTTTAAATCATGCTAAATACTTATTTCTAAAAATTTATCATAGTCCTGTATTCTTATAAATATAAAATTGACCTTATAATCAAACAATTTAATATTTCTATAAAATAAGAAATATCTGATCAAATTGTTACATATTTCATAGTTTAAAAATCAAGCAAAAACATTTTTTCTGTTCACCAAAAACTTATTTTTAATCATACTTTGTGATTCAAGTTTCATGTATAATTTTAACCTTCAGAAAACACTAGTTCACATCTCTGGTTGGTGACCTTGTTGAATATCATAATTATACAGTTGCTGATTGGTTAAAAAAAATGATATATTGTCATCCTAATATTACTAGTTTATTTACAGTACAATTTTCATTTTCAAAAGCATTCTTAGCTTTGAAATTTTTCATCTAACATTTTGCTTGAAATTAATATGAGTATCATGTGGTCTGTTTATATTTATTTATCAATTGTAAATGCTAAAATTCTTCCTATTTTCTTCCATACTTTTTGTTACTGAAATTGCACAAAAGCCTGGTGCTATTTACCAGTATTTTAATTATACTTATGTCATCTAATAATAGTAATCACAGTGACAACTTTTTTACTAATGAAATACTTATGTATTTTTTGTAATTATGATTGTAGTTGCTTACAAATTTTGGAAAAGTTTTTACAGCCAAAAGATGTCACATTGTGTTGATATCTCTAGTAAAATTTCCTAAATCATCATTTTTATAATTTAGCAAACTTTTATTTACCTCATAAATGCGTGTTTTTGTGTTTGTTGCTTCATGAAACCAAAACTACTGAACAGATTTTGAGTATTAAGATAGTTTACAAAGGATCAATTTCTGATGTAACTATGTATTACATATTTACAATTTAAATACATTATTCAGTACAGTACATGTTAAGGTAAATGAACTCTTTATATTAACAACTTGTAAATATAAGTCTGCCTAGTTCTCATTTAAATCACTTTTAAATGCCATTAATCAAAAAAGATATAGTCCGTTTTAGTAGTTTCATCCTATTTTCTTGTTTTTTTGGATTATTTTAACCAGTGAGATATTGTCATTAACATGTGGCCTTTTCTATTTGATCTTTGAAATGAAGTCTATGGATCTTCTTATTACTAGATATCACAAGATATGCAGGAGGTATAGATAGACCCAGTGTGTCTTTGCTATAAAAGGTTCATGAGTAATAATTATAACATTTTCCTCTATTAAATAAAAACATAAGTGAACACAGGAAATACTATATTTAGGAATGTTGCAGGAGACTGTGAATTGCCATTGAGTTTATCATGATTTTCACTTGTTTGTTGTGTGATACTTAAGCATTCTCTAAATCAAATCAAAAAGTTCTTTTAAATTCAGTATAGTTTGATTATTTTATTATAATTAAGTTGGCATCTCAAATTGACGTTTTCATATTTTAATTTGATATTAATCACATAAGAAACTTTTGAGTAAGCTGGCTAAGCGGCATTGTCCTGTTATAGTAGGTTTAAAACATGTTAATGTAATCTTCAATGACTTCTCATCTTACCAATTCAGTTTTAGGTTAATGTTAAAACACAAGCTCTCCTATTACAAAACAAGGTTTATCTTTAGTCCAGGCTTAAACCATTGAGTCGGGTTTTGAATTTTGAATCTTATTGTCATCTACCTTCAATTCGAAATACGAAAACTGGCTCAATGGTTTAGTCCTAGACTAAAGTAAAACCTTGTTTTGTAATAAGGCCGATTGCGTTTGGAGAAAGCTAGAATAAATCAAGACCTAAAGTAGAACAATTATTCTACTTTACCTATAAATTTTTATTTGCCTAACTTGTTTTATCTTAAACTTATTTATTTCATTTAGTCTTGCTGTTTGTTAGATAATTATTAACTGCTGAGCTTAGATACCATTCATTGAAATAACTAATTTTAAAATCACAGCCCTAGTATAGTAGCCTAAGAATGTAAATTAAACCTCATATTGTTTAGGGTCCAAGTGAAATGGTTTTTTATGTGGAGATATACTCCATTAAAAAATTTGCAAATATCCATAGATTGCCGTTAATTTTTTTCATGAGTCTGACAATAAATGGTTAACGATAAATACTCTGTACTCATTTATGCCCGGTTCCTATAATTGAGAAACGATCCGTTTTAGTTACGAATAGTAGTTTTATATACGATTCGTAAGCTAAAACCGTTCCTATAACAAACGTCTCGTCGTGCAACTTACTGACGGTTTGCAACTAACGGATGTCGGTAAGCGAATTGTATGGAGATCTATGGTGTCTGTGGTGTTCCTATAAATATTTTAACCGTCAGTAGACGGTCAAGATAACTATTCGTAATGTCATTTGGTCGTAATGCGTATACAACGACGATTCGTTAAATATAGGAACCGGGCATTAATGAAAATATCGAAAATAAAACATTATTTTCAATAAACTTAATATATCTCACAATAGTTACTATTCAAAAATCCTTACTCATAATAACATTGAAATAAGTAATCTTATGTTTGTCTGTTTCATGATAAATTGTTATCACTATAACACTTATTTTGTAATCAGTCTTGTTGATACTTCCTATATTCTAATATTATAGTTCAATCACAACTTTTTTATTCAAGTTTTGATATTTTAGGAACAATAAACTGGTTGTTTAAAAAGTCTAACTAAACCAATTTTAATATAATTAGGTATTTTTATTTTATACTTTAATTTGCTATCGCTTTCACCCTTTGTTGTCCAATAAATATAAAAAGTTGCCTACTTATATAAATCTCGACATATTATGACAATCACACCTTTAAAAGTACTTTGTTTTGATATGAAACACAAATTTTAACATATTTACTAAATTATTAATTAGGATACAATATTTGTACGGATTCGTATCATGTGGCGATAAGTCATGAAAATAATCTAAAAGAATATCTATTGGTTCAGCAGTATTTTTACTATTATTTTTTGCAAAGTCCATAATCAATAGTGGCTCCTTCCTATCCAATTAAAATATGACTATGAGTATGAGTCCACAATTGTCTTAACTTCTGCTAGTCATATAAGCGTGAAGTTATTTTATCAAAATTATTTCAGACTTGCCCCTTCTGTTTCATTATTATATTGCTCGGAAATGTTTAGTATTTAGAGTTTAACCTTGACACACAAACCGATTTTCTGTCAAGTAAAACTTTCTGTAACTGAACCAATAGCTGTTGTTCTTTCTAAATATAAATTGTTGTTTAGTTTTACGTAATATTTGTAGCATGCCCTGGCTTCACTTGAGAACTGTTCTCTGACTTTCCATGTCACTATATGAAATTTTTATTTCTTAAAAACTTTCCCTGGCAATAGCAAAAGTCTTCCTTAAGTAGTTGAGAAGTAGTTATTCCTCAATAATCTACTTGTCTCTAAAAACATAACATACTGCTAGGTATGGTAAAGGAAAACATCGTGAGTAAACCTGGATTTATAATTGCTAAATTATAAGTTTTGTAATTGCCAATCTGTCTTGAGTGAGAGTGGTGATTAATATTCAATCCTTCTCCAAAGAGGACTGAGTTCAGTAGTGAGCAGTTATAGGCTGATAATATTGATGAATCTAATTCTATGCCAATTTTTATCAAAATCCATTCATTCAGTACACACAATCATCCGTCTCACACTTACAAACTTTGACGTTATAATATTAGGAGCATTTTATTAAGCTCGATTAGTGTCTGTATCCATTGGCAAAATCTTTATCCATTATCCAAAATTACTGAATGGATTTTGATGAATGATGATGGATATTGGCATTTATCATATTAGGAGAATTTTAGTAAGCTCCTTCAGAGTCTTAGGTATTAGTGTTTGTTTAACTCCCATCACTATTTTTTAGCCTTGGTGTTTATACAATACATGCAAATAATACTATAGATTAACCATCTCACTGCAATGGAAATGAATTTTAAATTAGGCATCGGTTAACAAAGTCCTATTCATGTTATGATGATTTGATAAATAATACTTTGTATGACTTATTGTAAAAATCCATAAAGAAAAAAATCCTTGTTTTCTAAACCACCCCATTTTCGTGTAATCAATACTTTTTACTAATCACTCCAAGTTTTACTATTTTTCAAATAACATAAAGGTAATCCTCTCTGCTTTAATTAATTTATTATCATGGCTATAATTTGTTAATTACCTGTCGTTTGTGATGACTTTTCATTAGTCGAATTATTCTAATTATTATTAAATAATATTTTATAATGACTACAGTATGTTACTTAAGAACAAAAGTTGTAATCAATGGAATAGTGTAGGCTGCGCCCGCGCACGACAATCATAGGAAACGATCGATCGTTGTTTTTTCTCTCATTGATTGCGGAACGTCGTAAAACCGTGAAACTAAGAAATATCATAAACGAAAATAGAAAATAACAGTGAATTTTCAAATGGATTTGGATTTCTCTTTTTTACCGTCGGTACGTCAAGTATTTGTTTTTCTATGATAATTTTTTCGTTGCATAGTTGGTACGGAGCACGTTATTATTATTAATCATTGTTATTTTATTTAAACCACATATTTAAATGTATGTTAATTTCATAATACATTACATAAAAATTGTCTGATAGTCAGCTAGGTGTATGCTGTGGCATAGGGTAGAAGAAAGCATGGATTTTAGTCAGTAAGAGTCTGACTCTTCCTCACGCCCTGCCCAAGACGAGAAGGGAATCTTCTGATGATTTGACATTCTTACAAAATAGAGTTTATTTCAAGGCGATCTTCCATCATCATCACTCGGAGAAGAAAAAGAAACTTGCACACAGTACTTGTGTACCACTTTGTCTATAGATATTCAGTTTCTCTTTTATCTCTTATATTTTCAATGGCCTTTACATAAGTTTTATCAGACCCATTAATCAGATAATTTTTGTATTCTGAAATTTTCCGATTTTTCACGTTCGAAAATGGCAAAACTCTTTTTTAGTCATGCTAAGGAATTCCTATTTTATTGTTGCATTATCTTCAATGGATAACCTATCTACTAGATGTTAAAAAAATCTATGTAGTTCTATGTCTTTCGTTTTGGTGTAGGCTTTCATAAACATTCTCAATTTGAATTTGTCCCTTTAGCCAGTTTAAGTGTGCGACGATTTTCAACAGACTTCAAAAAAAGGAGAAGGTTCTATCCCAATTCGACTGTAATTTCACGTAATTTTTCGAGGATCTATGGACTTCCAAAGATCTTTGGGGACAATTAGGTCGCATAAAACTTCTTATTCGATTTTTTTAAAGATCCATTCCGTTCTCTTTTTATCTGGTGAAAAATAAAGTTTTTTTACTTGACTGTTTTCTTGTTGCCTTATTGTCTATGGGTTAAGACTGGTTTTCGCTAGAACAACGATTTTAGATCTAGCTAGTATCCTTTCTGTGTAAAAATAATGTGGCTTTGTTTTCGAGTGGTGGCTCTGCAGAAGATTACATGTAGCTAGCTAAAATTGAGTGTGTGGCACAATTTTTTCCTTCAAGATTAAAGAAATCTGTTGAATTATGGACTCTATAAACGCACTGCGAAGGGTTTACTTTCGAACATGATTTTGAAATAAAAATGTAAATAATGTTGTCCAAATATTATTTAGTTCGAAAGGTGATCATGGGCTTGTGACACAATATAGCACATTTTATTTTTACAACTATTTATACATAAATATTATAAAACGAATAAATTCTTACGCATTATAATTGGTCTTCTACGTGAAAGATTTAAAAAGACGAACGTGAATAAGGAAATAATCTCTATTTCAGTAATTTTAACATCGAAAATGGACCAAAATCAGTCGATTTCCTGGCCTAAAATACTGCCTAGTTTAAAATAGAGTTGTCAATAACGACCCCTACTACTGACCTGGCTCTAAAGATACTGAACTGTTACATTATTCTAAGGGCCGATTTTTCAATGGTTAGATATTAGTTAACTGGGGAATAATTATGATGCTGTCGCGTCAGAATGTTTGTAAAAGACAGTGACAGCAACAATTTTATTCTTCATATAACATTTATCTGACTATTGAAAAATCAGCCCTAAATCTATAGGTGTACCTAACCTATAGTAATACAAGGAAATCCAAACTCCCAATGGGTAACTCCTATAATAATGTGGTTGTGTATGGGTGACGCCGATTGTTTACCATCAGGTGTTCCATGGGATAATCACTCTACGCAATTGAAAATATTGAGTATTTTCATTCAAACGAAAAGAAGTCATTTTTCAAAATCTAGTAATTTTTTTATTGTACTTTTCATTTATAGGGAGAAAAATACTTGACTTTCTAAGTGTTTTCCAATGAATTAATAATTAAATAAATAAACTGAAGAAGTTGTTACAGTCATAACGCATTGTTATTTTAAGTAGACAGTGCTGTGGGTAATTCCCTTTGTACAATAATTTTGTTCAGTATCGTACGAAATATTGTAAAACAGACAAATTAAATACGAAAAATTCTAATATTTCATTTATATTTTGTATTTGTTATTGTATTAAGCTATAAGTAATGAAAATTTAACGTAACAGAGAAATCTTGTCTTTAACTTATTTTAACTAGTGTCTAAATATGTTTTTTTATATAAATATTTCCAGGTTGTCGACATGCATACTGTCCACGAAATTATATCCATATTGGAGAGAATCAATATCACAAAAGAGCTGCTGGAGGTAAGAGATCCATTCTATAACATTTTTAAAATTATGTATAATAATTTAACAATACACAACTTCACTTACACTGTAATAAAAAAAAGAACGGAAAATAGATTAAAAGAGAGAACATATGGAAGATACATAAAAAAAAAATTGTTTAGATTTTAGGAATTTACGTATATGGTTTTGTGTCATTCCCACGGAAGATGGAAAATAAATAAATAAAATCGAGAACAAATACCTATTAACAAATTAAATACCTAATAAAATTTTAAAATCAAGAAGACATACTTCTTAACTTTTTTCCAAAACTATCAATATTTAATTCAAAGATTTATTCGTATAAAAATTGGTATAATTTTAATTGACTTATTTGGCGATATATTCGTTTGATTTTATATTGTTCTTGTCAAATTTTAAGTAGTAGTTTGCTATTTTGCCCACTAGCTATGTGGTCGGTCTTCAATAAAAAAGATTTAATGAAAGTATATTTAACTGATCCATATCTTTATGTTTTGGCATTTTGATAATAGTGATGTATTCCACAAATCTTATATATAAAAATGGATCGTAAATTTGTTGGTAAGCGCATAACTCAAAAACGGCTGGACCAATTTTGCCAAATCCTTTTGTTTTGTAGTTATTATTGTCAGGACAAGGTTCTTTGAAAGAAAATATTAAAAAAGTAGAGGGGAAAATTGGGGAAAAGGGACCCTTTCATTGTTAGCGAGATAGATGGACCCGTGCGAAGCGGGGGTGGGCCGCTAGTACACTATAATAATGGGCACGCCCCGCACATAACCAGATTCATAATTCCTTTTCCGAAAAAAAATTGTTTAAAATTTCTTTTCCCAAAGACAACTAATTATATTTATTTTGTTGGTCCCTTAAATACACAATTAAAATGATCCTTAATTTATTGACTTAATGATTATGATTACTAAGGAAGTTGCCAAATAACGACTAACAATGATGATTCATTTTTTATTTACATTATTTTGATAATTAATGGCTTCTTTACTGACTTTTCCATCGCGTTTCTAATGTTCATGCTTTTGGAGATAAGTGTTGAGGATATTTAAGGATTGGAAGGGATATTGGAGGAGGGTTTGGGCCTCCAGTAAACTCACTCACACGGCGAAACACAACAATGTGGTTGTTTTATGCCGGTTGTCTGTGAGGCCGAGATATCATTGCGGTCCAGCCGACCCATTCGGGCTGAATCTTGACTCTAACAGACTTAAATGTAAAGAATATCTGTATTGTGAATTACATTATGTTGTTATATTTTTTCAGACCACCCGACTGGGTAAACATGTAAACGAGCTCAGACGGAAGACGACGGACCCGAGCCTCGCGCGCCGAGCCAAGGTGCTGGTCAAGCGGTGGCGGGACCTCGTCATACCCACCGTTGCATCGCCCGGACACACAGGTACATATGATTGCTCGTATTGACCTTGACTGCAAGGTTAAGCAACTGGCTGCTATGCTAACATGTCGAGGGTTCGATTCCCTAGGTGAGCAAGAGTGTGTTTTCGTCAAATTGTTGTTGTTTATTTGTAAACGCACTTTTTCGGGATAGATCTGCAATCGAGTAGACGTTTACCTGATGGTAAGCAATCAAAGCCGCCCATGTATACCCAACAACAAAGGAGCTGCAAGTGCGTTGCTGACCTTTTGAGGGTTGTAAGAGAATTGGAACGATTGGGCATCCAGTTACATCAATCAATCGGCGTTATCCAACGCTGTGGTTGTTTCACGCCATTATTCTGTGAGGCCCTGGCTGGTTGGTATCAGTCCATTCGAACCGGCCTATTCGTGCGGTAGTATGGCACTCTACTGGCGGCTCTACAACGCCCTTCGACTCCTAGGGTGTTAATAAGCGAGTCCAATTGCTTACCATCAGGTCGTTAGCCGCCATATCATATACAAAATTCTAAACTGCCAACGCCATCTGTTGTCGTTCACAATGAACACCGATACACCCCATTGGGCTTCAATGCGAAACTGTTGCAACCGCTTTCAAGCCGTGATCGGTCCGATCGGTCGTTATTGCGCTACCAGCACCACTGTTGAAACACTTGACTTATTCTGGTGTTCTCTTAGGTAATACGATGGTTTTTTTTTTCAATACCATCGCTGTTTGGCAAGGAAAAGTCGATAAGTTCGCAAATTTTTTTTGTCCGTTTAAAAAAACGTTGCCTAGGATAATCTCCTGTGTCGTGGGTGCGTTTACAAACATACAATTTCACATGCACATCACACCCAGACTCGGAACAACAATTTGTGGATCACACATATAACATTCCTACTGGATTAAACCAACTTTTTTTCCAACTATAACAATATATTCAATACTTTTGTTGAAATGTCAAAAACGATAACTCATTTTTTTTGAGTTCGCAACTGGTCCAAAATATAATGAATATTTATGTATGGATAACTAGTTTCCGTCGGCGGTATGTTAATAAAAAACAGCCTATGTGCATCCCCTATGTACAAAGTACAGTTTATTGATGTAAATCGCGCGCGCAGTCAGCATTTCCACATTGACCTAAACATTTAGTCTTAACATACTAAATTTCAATTAAATTGGCCCAGCAGTTTTGCGTGAAACAATAACAAACATACAAACACATTCCCACAAACTTTCACATTTGTTATATTAGTAGGATAATAGGATTGTTAATAAATGTTTTTATTTTTCATCCCCAGGTTCAAACCGTTCTTCAGCAGAGCGGCAGGTGCACAGACGTCTCGGCGGCACCCCCCTCACGTCGCCGGCACTCTCCCGGGTACCTATACATGTACTTATTTCTCTTACTTTCTTTCTTTTTTTCTACTATATTTCTTCTTTTGACTTCTATCTTTTTCTAAATTTCTTTCAATTTGATCTTAGTATGGCAGTCTATCTGTCACCAACACAAAAAATTGTGCTTATATATTATATAATTATTTTAAAAAATATTTATAGCATTCTGATTAACTGATTTTTTTTTATGTAATAAGTCGGCAAACGACCAGACGGATTACCTGATGGTAAGCAATCAACGCCGCCCATGGACACCCGCAACGGAGGAGTTACGAGTGCGTTGCCGACCTTTTGGGGATTAGGGATTGGGGAAGGGTCCGGGAAGGGGAAGGATTGGGCCTCCGGTAACCTCACTCACACGGCGAAACACAACGCTGTGGTTGTTTCACTCCGGTTTTCTGTGAGGCCGTGGTATCACTCCGGTCGAGCCGACCCAATTCGTGCCGAAGCATGGCTCTCCCACACTTAACCTGTTTGACAACTGTATCGAGATTCGACCCCCTCAAAATAGAGAAATTACTTTTTGTTTTTCAAAAAAAAACTTCAAATATTAGTTGATAATGTTTTTGAATTAAAAAAATGTATTTTTCCATCGGTCAAATAGCCAAAAACAATTGTATGTATTGTGTTCAATAATGTATTATGTTTTTTTTATTACAGCAAGTGGTCAGTCCGGCAGTAAATAGCCCGCGACCGCCGTCCAGACCGGGTAAGTACACATATTTTATTATTATTTAGGGTTTGACATATTTTAGCCTCCGGTAACCTCACTGATACAGCGAAAGACAACGCTGTGGTTGTTTCACGTTAGTTACTTTGGTTGAGCCGACCCATTCGTGCCGAAGCTTGGCTCTCCCACACATACCTTATTGTAACAAGTAGACTAGTTAATTTATTTGCTTATTTATAATGCTCATGGTGTTTTGTTATTCCAGCATGGGGAGGTTACGAGTCGGACTCGCAGGATGTGATCCTGGTGGACGACGAGCCCCCCGCGGCCGCGGCCCCGCCCGCCCCGCCCGCGCCCTCCCTTCTAGCACACACACACAAACCTAGCACGCCACGTAAGTACCAACAACACTATACATATTTATGTGATACCATCTTTTGCCCGCGACTTCGTTCGCGTCGAATACTGACTTATACATGTATATACTTATAGTTCCTAATCTCGCGGGATATTTCAGATTTTCGGAATAAAAACTATCCTACGTCCTTTCTTGAGTTCCAAACTATGTCTGTTCCAAATTTCAGACAAATCGGTTCAGTAGTTTAGGCGTGAAGAAAAGGCAGACAGACAGACAGACCGAGTTACTTTCGCATTTATAATATTAGTTTCGATAATTAGGGGTCTCACACACCCTCAGGAACCACACATCGACGGAAACATAAAAAAAATCCGTATAAAAATGCCACCAGTACCAACAAGATGCATTTTTTGGAATATTTTTTTTTTGAGATTTAGAAAATGTGACTACTATTATACGTTTTTACCTAATTACACAATTTATATAAAGTCGCTAAAGATTTCGTGTAATATTTCAGCTGTAAAAAGGCCACCCTCCCCGGAACCATTGTACGATGAAAAGAAAGCGAAAAGAGATAAAAAACCTAAGAAAAAAAGGTAAGTGTCAAATAGGTACAAACGGAATGATTATGAAAAAGAGCTTCGAATCGTTATTCTATTTGTATATCAAAATAAATGGGAAAACCATCATCTTGGGGATTTTCTCAATGTTTTCTGCGTTTCGACGGGATTTGATTGCGAAACTATCAAGGCCAAGCTCACAAACATCTGTTTTGTGTTAATTTATTAGTGTTTCAAAGCACTTTACTTACTAAAATAAAGATTGATTTAGTTCAGATACAGCTATAATAGGTTATAGCTACTGAGCTGATCGATAATAACAAACAAAAGATAAGTAATCATTAGATACCAGATAATTAAGAGTAAAAATATCTTCCATCATTTTATTGAGTCAAACATTATTTTCTTACCTGTCCCAAAAGTTACATACTTAACTAGATTTTTTAGCTTTTGATTATGTATATGAAACAACTGTAACGTCGATCAATTGTATTATTTTAGTGACATAAGTATATGTATTATTTTTCAGAGGGCACAGTCGCGCTGGCTCGGGCACGGAAGCGACGGGTCCCGTGTCGGTGGGGGGCCCGGTGTTGCCGGCGGGGCCCCCGCTGGGGACCCCCGGGTCGCTGGGCCCCGCGGCCGCCGCGCCCGGCGCCGCCAGCTGGGCGGGCCGCAACGGCACCTCGCACGAGCGCCGCCGGAACGGTACCAAGCGCCATGCGTTGGATTCTTACGCTGCGCTGGTCAACCGTATGCCTCCCGCTGGTGCTAAGAAGGTATTGCTTCTGTCTATTATAGTATACTGTCTAGTTAAACGTTTTAAAATACCTTCACACGACTTTATTGGTCTTTTATATTTTTTATGGCGTTATGTGTTCAATTACACGGTATTGTTTTATATTTGAAAACGTTTAAGTGTTAAGAATCAAATCTGTAAAATCTTCAAAAAGTTACTCATTGATATACTAGACAAGATTTTTTTTAAAGAGACATTGTTATTTTAATTGATAAGTGTAATTATTATATTAGTTAATTGTAATTCACGGTGTTTCAGGTTAAAACGACAAAGGAGCTGTTGGAACAGATACAGTCGCGCGGCAGTAAGCAGGCCGCGTCGCCTGGCTCACCGCGCTCCCCCGCCTCGCCTGACGTCATGCTCATAGAACCAGACAGTACGTACCTTGCCGTGTGTTTACTGATGTTTCTACATGATACTGATTCTTAAATGGTTGTGATCGCTGAAGAGGAAGTCGTACGTCAATGTATCGTATATTGTTTCGTTTCGTAGCGTTCGTGAAGGCGGAGTCCCCGCTGCGGAACGGAGGCACGACGCCACGATTGCCGTCTCCGTCTCCGTGCGCGTCCCCCGCGCCCCCACTGTCCCCGCTGGAGGAGCCGCGCGAGGAGCTGGAGTGCACGTGCGAGGAGGACTCGGAGGACGCGGCGTGCCCGCTGGGCGGCGCGCGGCGCGTGGAGGCGCGGCACGTGCAGGCGCTGCACCACGCGCTGCTGCCCGGCGTGAACGGCACGCGCGCGCCCAGCCTGCCGCAGCGCTTCGCCGTGCGCGCCGCGCCCCATCCCACGCGCGACGGGCTCTTCGCCAGCGTCGTGCCGCTCTACAAGTACTCCGACTACGCGGACGACTACTGCGTCAAGAACATGGCGCGCGTGCCGCTCTGCCCGCACCTGCCCTGGACAGAGTTCGCCCCGCCGCCGCCGGACCTGCCCCCGCCGCCGGAGCCCCCGCCGCTCCGGCCTTACCCGCCGATCGAGCCCGATCCCCCGGAGCCCGGCGAAGAGGGCGAGCGGGACGAGGCGGACGCCGAACCCGACGTGAAGCGGGAGCCCGACGTGAAACGGGAACCCGAGGAGCGCGCGGAGGTGGAGGCCGAGATGGTCGGCGTGCCCACCCTGGAGCCGAGCGAGAGACTGAAGGCGCCCCTGCTGTCGCCCGAGGAGGAGTCGCAGCTGGGCGTGGCGGCGCGCTCGGCCTCGGCGGCGGCGGCAACGCAGCAGTTCGCGGCGGCCGCGCCCGTGCACCGCAGCGTGCCGCGCACGAGAGAGGGCTCGCTGCTGGCGGCGGCGGCGGCGGCGGCGGCCGCGGCGCCCTACAGCTACGCGCAGCTGGACGCGGCGCCCGTGCTGGGCCGCGCGGCGCTGGCCAGCGACGCGGCGCTGGCGGCGGCGCTGGCGGGGGCGCCGGCGGAGCGCGACGCGCTGGGTCGGCCGGCGCGGCCGGCGCGCTTCGCGGAGTGGCACGAGAGCGCGCGGCTGGGCGACCTGGTGGCGCTGCCGTACGTGGTGCTCGACTGAAGTAGTGCCAAACGCGTGTCGCCCGCGCCGCCCACACCCAAGTGTCCTTACGTTAGTTATAGTGGCCGGCCGGCGGATACATGCCTAGTCATATATATTTATTTTGTAACGGCCGACGACGAGTCGTGGCGGGCGGGTCTCCCGCGCCCGCTTGTGATATTATGTAGGAGGCCGCCTGGGGGACGCCGATACATTCCCGGTCGAGACGCGCGCGACATCACACCGCACACGCGACCCGAGCCGCAGACTGAAGCTTTGATCGCGCGCGACGTCTCGACGTCTTGCTATTTTTGTAATTAGTAGTACATGCATTGCTCACGGATATAGTCGCAGACGACGCGCGCGGTCAGGGCTCGAGTGATGGACTCCGCGGGTGCCGCCACGGTCCAGCCTCGCGCGGCCTCGCTCTCCGGTCCACCACTTATTTGTATAGTTATAGACTTCCCAAATAAGATTAAAATAATAATCTCCCGACTGTTTCATAAGTTGTCGTTACCTTTTGTGATTTTTAAAATGAAAGAAAGAAAAAATTAGGTAATTAATAAATAATTAAATAGGAGTTCCAATTGTATATTATACATAATTATTGCATCTATCATGCGTCGAAATATCAATGATAAGGGAAAGAGAATGTTAAATTTTATAAATATAAACATTTACTATATGAAAAGTTGTACCAAATTGTTGTTGTTGATGTAGACCGCGCGCCCACTGCGGCGGGCCTGCGCGTCCAGTACAGGCCGGCCCCGCCGCAGCGCGCGGTCTCGATAAGAATATAATTGTCTGTTACTATATAATTAACGAAAACTAATTATTATCAGATTATAAAATTATCACAAAATTGTAAAGTTCCTAGTTTTGATTCCGTTTAACAAAGCGAGCACTGTATGAATGACAATTTGGTAAATTTTTCACCATTATCTTGTATGAAAAAGACAAGTTTGGAGTATCTATAGTTGAATATTGTTACATACAGTTTGTTATCACGTTTACAAAGATGCCAAATGATAACCGCTGTGCGGTCATTTACTGTATGTCTTGTGTTTGTGGTGATTGTGATGCGAACGTGCGAGCTTTTATGTTTTCGCTGAATAATACGTTTTTGTAAAAGTTAAAACTCTTTATTTTTAATTTACCGTTAGGTTTATGTGTAATTGTGTTGTTTCGAGAGAGGGACGAGTGTTATTGGTGGCGTTGCAATAGTACACAGGTACCAGCATTGTGGTGATATTCAACCATAGATACCGCGACCGGCGGCGCGCGCAGGCTGCCCGGGCGACAGACTGACCCTCGATATCTGTACGTTACGAACCAAAAGACTACCTATCTAGACAATCAATAAGTGCCTATGACCTGTCGCGCGTCGCAGCCGAACCTCGCGAGCGAGGCCCAGTCGCAGGTCGCCGGTCGCAGGTCGCACGGTAGTGTTGTTAGTAGCGAGTGTCGCAGTCGCGTCGCGTCGTGTAGCGTCGCGGCGCGACTGTCGCCACGTTGAGGGCCTTACGTGCGTGTTGCGGGTGAAGCCGCCTGGTTGCGGCGGCGACGTACCCGGTCACTGCCTTGTTGGACGAGATCCAAAAACTTTGCTAAACAAACGAAAATATATATATCACTGTGTTTTTATTATCCCTTTGTTTTATTTTGTTTACAAACTTTACTTCTTCGGAAGTGGTTGTGCCGCTAGCGACGTTATACAAAGTAATTTCGAATTTACTTCTCTTATATTGGCTGTTGGCTGTATCCTGTGACTATTTTGTACAAAATATTTACTCTTGTATGGAGATGTTTTGCTTGGAACAGTGAATTTCTCTGAATGGACACAATAAACAGAAATAAAACAATATCAAGTTAATAAAATTTATTATTAATAAAAATTACAATATCTTTCTATACACAATAGAACTGAGCGCATTTTTATTGCAGCCGATAATCCCCACAAATAACTTGCACATGTGAATACAGATAGCAACACCATATCATAAAAAAAATACAGAATTTTTAATTATTTTCTTCAAATTGTATGCGCCCAGTTAATCACGTGTTTTATAAATTAAAATATCATTAATGGCACCATGTTAGTTGCTTGAGTACAGACAAAAAATTCAGACGATATTTCAGTTATTGTCCAGTTTTTATAACATTAATTAGACAAATATTATACATATTTGCATTCTTAGTTACTGAGATTCGTTCAAATATTCGTTGTGTAGAATCTAAATACACTTTCTTAGGAGAAGTATATAGATACTTACATCATAATAAATAAAAAAAGAAACAATTCTGATATACAATTTGTCAACATTGAAAACGACCTTAAACTCATGATGAAGGTCATACATATTTACATAGAAATGTTAAGAGCTACACATTATTTTGACCTCGAAAACGTTAATAAGCAAGGTCATTGCTGTTAGCTAGTGGAAAACTCGAAATATTATCTTAAAATTAAAAATAATATCAATATTAACATTTTTGAATTTAGATTCACAAAATATTTTGGTGACAATGAAGGTTTTATTTTACATGATCACGCATGGCATAGCGCAGCATAAAGGTAGGCATATGGGGACAGCTGTCTTCGTCTCAGAATGCTTCGATTTGCTTCGAGAACCAGATTCATACTCATACATGCCGCGGGCTGATGCGTAGCTGCCTCCCCCTTGTGCCATCGCCTGGGGAAATAAAAATTACATAGGTAAGAATAATCTATTGTACAAACGAAGGATTTGCTAATGTAAGTATGTATTCAATTTTGAAATGAAACCGCAAGAATTAGATTAGCGACCCGTTTTTACACGGATGCAATGCTAGGTGAATGTCTAAACTATGTAATGGATGGAATTATACATAAACAACTTTCTCTTCAAAAACACTATTTGTTAAAAATTGCATTGATCGTCTCGGCTGATAGCATTGTAGTTTTTTTGTTTAAAAAATGTTCCCCGCACTAGGATTTTCTCATGTGTCGTGGATGCGGTTACAAACATAAAATTTCCACAAACACATCGCAGCCAGACCCGGAACAACAATTTGTGGATCACACAAAGTTTTATTCCGAGCGGGAATCGAACCCGCGAGACGTTGCACGGCAGCCAGTTGCCCAGCCACCGCACCAACCGTGTAGTCAGTTAAAAGTGGATCCAGTGGGAAAGAATATTGATTGATGGGTACACTACCCATGAATCAAATTAAATTAAAAGTAATTAATCAAAAGAATAGATATCCTAAAAAGGGAATCAGGAGCTTGTAAGAATAGTTATACACATTTCTGTATGTTTAGACACAAATGCGTCTCCCCAGAATTTCACATATGATCCTACTCGTAGCGGTGTTCATAGTATTTATATAATCTTCAAACATTAAATTGTTCGCAAGAAGATTTATAAGATGATGTCCATACGTCCAATAAAGGATAGTGGAAAAAGAAAACATTATCCTAACAATATTAGAAATGCGAAAGTATCTATGTTGGTTACTCTTTTACGTACTTAAATTAAGCTACTGCACGGACCAGAATTATCTATACTAATATTATAAAGAGGTAACATTTGTAAGTGTGTATGTAGGGGGTAATCTTTGGAACCACTGGTCGGATTGCCAAAATTCTTTTACTGATAGATAGCTACATTGTTGCCTGAGTGCTATAGGCTAGCGTGCTATAAAACATCAAACGGAGCTACGCTACGATCAAAAGGAGCTGAGCAGCGGGTGAAACCGCGCGAGAGTAGCTAGTATATAGTCTGGAAGAACACATTAGCTACTTTTTACCCTGGTAGGTACATACTGCGGGAGTCGCCGCTAGCAGATGCTAGTATTATTTATACATAATAGGTATATTGTACTGAAATGCCCAGTTTATAAGGTAACTAATAGTAAAATAATATTACACCTCATCAGGCAACTGCAGCACGGAGTACAAACTGACTGATTTTAATATGATCTAGTACGCTCGATTCGGTATGTTAGGATGTTTTATGACAAATATACGTCTCTTATCTTATCTTACCGCCTGACCCCACGTAATTTATGACATTGTGAGATTCTAGTAGTAAACTTACACTGCTAGCTTGATAACCACCGCCGCCACCACCACCTCCCTCCTTCTTCTGGAAGGGTGTGTGTCCAGGCGGGTAGTAAACTGCAGGGCCAGCCACGTTACGGCTGTTAGCAACGACAGGGGACTTCGCTGGTGGACTGGGGGCGGAGTCCCGCGTGTCTCGAGTGTCTCTGTTCAGTGTGGAACTCTGCGTCGAGCTCTCGTGGGTCACGTGGACGTTGCGGCGAACCACACCGTCTGGCTGTGTCGGGAAACGCTAGAAAGTGAAAGATAAAAAGTTTATTATGTAGGTACCTACAATACCGTAAGTATTTTATCAAGTCATCAAACATTAGGTGAACGCCGGCGTTCGCACACCTTTTGTGTCTCATCATCATCATCATCATCATCAGCCTACGAGTATCCACTGCTGAGCAAAGGCCTCTTTTCTCATACGGAGAAGGTTAGAGCATTAATCAGCACGCTTGCTCAATGCGGGTTGGCGATTTCAAACTTATAACTAGAAATTATAAGTCCACGATGTTTACCTTCACCGTATGTCAGTGGTGTCTAAATAATTATAGAAAGTACATATAACTTGGAAAAAGTCACATGGTACTTTGCCAGGTTTCGAACCCACACCCTTATGCATGAGATGCGGGCTCCTTAACCCCCGGGCCACCACGATGTGTTGTGTCTCGAATTAACACAATTGGAAAGTTAAAACTCATCTCGATAACAGCCACGTAACTAGGCAGACGTTTTGCTAAGTGGAGCTATAAGTATTTATAGTAATATTATAATGCTAAAGAGTGTGTTTTAATCTAAAGCGCTTATCTTAGAAATTACTGCTTGGAATTGAACAAATATTTTTGAATAGGTATCTACTCAATTTATCGGGTTGCGCTATACACACTACGCCAAATATGTCTCCAAAGTTGAGCAGCGAATGAGGGCCGGCAACGGCACTTGTATTCTCTGATGTTGCGGGTGTCGAAGACCTTAGCTAAATGCCTACCATCAGGTGCTAAGGCGACCAGTCTGCTCTCTAGCTGCAAAACAATCTAAAATAAACAATGAAACAATGAATTAATTTTTGCAAATAGGCCATAAAACGGCACTTTTACACGTCAATTTATATGTGAAAAACTAGATGAAGCCGGCGATAAAATACTTACAGCTTCAGGGAAGTCAGCAAGCAGGTCGTCTAACTTCTTCGGTGGTTGTTGAGTGCCAGGCGAGGGAGTGCTAGGGCGAGGGAACGGGCCGGGGGAGGGAGAGTTGGCAGGGTGCAACGTGTGTGAGGGATGAGGAAGCGGGGAGGGCGACGGGTAGCGGTGGGTCGTGTTGTGGGCGGAGTACGTCGTCTCCGAGAACTTGTATGATGATGGACCCTGGAGGTGAAATTATATTAGGTAGTAATTGTTGAATATACAGGTATATGTAGATATGGTCTAACTAACGATAGGTAAGAAAACAAAAGCTTTCGAAAAACGAAAACGAGAAAATTAATATATTTATTTTATGTTTATTTGCTTGTTTAAGTTCGTCTTTTATGTATCGTTTTTTCTTTTCCTTTATGATTTTATTATGAATGTGTTAATGTAACTGGATCAAATCCGTGTTAACATAAATAAATAAATAAATGCTGTACAAATTAATTTATAAAATACACAAATTAATTCTAAAACAGCTATGTAGGTAGGTAAATCATGAAACGAACTTTTATTTTAAGTATTGATTTCTGAGCAGACTATGCAATATCTGAAGTGCCTCGTTCAAAAGTTTTTTAAAATGTGGCCTACATCAGTATTTTTTTCCTGTGTCGTGGGTGCGTTTACAAACATAGGTACAATTCTACATACACATCATACCCAGATCCGGAACAACAATTTGTGGATCACACAAAGAGTTGTTCCGTGCGGGAATCGAACCCGAAACGCGTTGCGTGGCAGCCAGTTGCCCAGCCACCGCGCCAACCATATTAAAATTGTTGTAATTAATTAAAACGATTTTTCACGTAGGTAACTTACATTTTACTGTTTAGCCTCTTAAGCAGAAACCAAATCAATTAGTATAAAGGTCAAATACTCTATGAGATCTTGTATTATAAGGTTTATATTTTTGTCTACATAATACATACGTATGGGCCATGTCCATTATGCGGTTCTGAAGGTAGCACCTTGGTCTCGTTGGCGGGGGCAGGATACACCATACGTTCGTTGGTGCGATCTGAAACAGGGAAAACGTTTTTTTTTAATATTACAGAAAGAAAAAAAGAAAGAAGAAAGAAAGAAAAAGTTTATTGACACAAACCATGTGCACACAGATGTAGTAACAAAAAGGTTATTTAATATAAAAGAAAAAATAAAGAAAAACTACATAACTGTGTGCCTCACGGCTGCGCCAAACAGGCCCAGTTCAGCATAAATGCCAGACCACTTGGGCCTGACGCTGGTTTTCAGCTGGACCTTTGTGCATGACGTGCTACGGATTACATGTGTAGTAATTTATCACTATTGGTCGGGTGACCATTATTGGTAGTGTACCTAAGGCTTTTTTGAATGGAGAGTGATTTCTCCCACCCTTTGTGAGGCGAGACGGAATGTCAGACTCAATATTCGTGTGATTTTATCAGACAAGTGTGGGAGAGCCACGCTTCAGCACGAATGGGTCGGCTCGACCGGAGTGATACCACGGCCTAACAAAAAACCGTCGTGAAACAACCACAGCGTTGTGTTTCGCCGTGTGAGTGAGGTTACCAGAGGCCCAATCCTTCCCCTCCCCCAATCCCTCCTCAATCCCTAAATCTCCAAATCCCTAAAAGGTCGGCAACGCACTCGTAACTCCTCCGTTGCGGGTGTCCATGGGCGGCGCTGATTGCTTACCATCAGGTAATCCGCCTGCTCGTTTGCCGATTTATTACATAAAAAAAGTCATTTACAAATTTGAACGTTATAAAAACATTATGGTAGGTTACCATCGGTGGTGGTGACAGTGCGGTATTCCCTGATGGTGGAGTTGCAGTGCGAGCAGTACTGGCAGCCCCCGGGGCCCGCGGGCGACACTAGCGCCACGGGAGGCGGCGGGGAGCTCGCGCTTGTCCTGCAGAGGGAGAACAGATTATTATTATCCTGAGTGCAGTAGCCATTAAGCCATTTTCTGCATGGCTCTAGCTGATAACCTTGATTGCCCCATACAGACCGGGGCTGCAGTACCTTTTTGCACTTAACTCGCAATCCCGGCTAAAGATAAAGAGAGTTTAAACACTACGAAGAGAAATTATTTCAATATTTTATTAAACTCAAATGTCGTGTTGTTTATTAAATCAATGTCGTCTTGGCCCTGAGGTTAAGTAGGGCTTCTCATGCATCAGGGTGTGGGTTCGAAACCTGGCAAGTACCAATGTGACTTTTTGCGAGTTATATGTAGATACTTTCTATGATTATTTAGACATCACTGACATGCGGTGAAGGTAAACATCGCGAGGAAACCTGGACTTATAATTTCTTATTATAAGTTTGAAATCGCCAACCCGCATTGAGCAAGCGTGGCGATCAATGCTCTAACCTTCTCCGTATGAGAAGAGGCCTTTGCTCAGCTGTGGGCACTAATTAGGCTGATGATGATTAAACTCAAACTCAAATTTTGCATGTTAATCTTCTATAATATTGTAATGGATTGACATTGATTGCATTATTTATTATTATTAATTGATGATCATATTTCAATAATATTGTATAGTATCACAAAATTTAAAAGCTTTATAACTTTGTACTTTTTGCATGCCTTATTATTGGTAAAAAAATTATTATTAAAAAAACAAAATACCCGACTGCACACTAAAAAAAGAGTAAAACAAGCCCCACAATACAAATTTACTGAATATATAAATGTTGATGGAAAGCATCGCAGGCGGGGACCAACAGAGGCTTATTTATAGTCATTTCTGTTGTGCACCATTTAGCAGAATTTTCGTTGGTGGCGGTCAAGGTGGTCCCCGCCTGCGATGCTTTCCATCAACATTTATAAATTATATTCAGTAAATTTGTATTGTGGGGCTTGTTTTACTCTTTTTTTAGTGTGCAGTCGGGTATTTTGTTTTTTTAATAATAATTTTTTTATTTATAACTTTTTAGCTGTTTTTATTTAACGAAAATGTTGTACGCATTCGGGCTGTATACTCGAGCATATCCCCCTCCGCACCGCGCCGCGCCCCGCATGCCAGGCCACGCCCTATCTTTTTGCTTGCTAACGCATGAGTTGCTTTGCGTTGACGCAGAATTAACATGTTCCCGTGGGAATTTTGAGAAAAAACGTATCCTATATTAATTACTCCCGTGATTGAAATGAATCTAATGATACCGCATACATATTTTTTAAAGGGAAATTTAGAAAAAATATTATTATGTCTTTATCCCGTGGGACTTTTAGGATAAAATGTATCCTATGACACTCCCGTAATCAAGACAAATCTAACGATACCTCATACATCAAAATCCATCAAGCCGTTTAGGCTACAGGAGGTCACAAAGGAAAAGACATACATACATACTTACATACACTCGAAAAACATTACCCTCCTTCTTTGGCAGTCGGGTAAATATGGCTATTTCTCTATTTATTGTAACACCTTACTTGTACCCATATTTGCGAAATAAAATCTTATCTTATCTTATACTATAATATAATAAAGCTGCAGAGTTTGTTTGTTTGTTTGAACGCGCTAATCTCCAGAACTACTATAGTTCGAATTGAATAATTCTTTTTGTGTTTGTTAGTCCATTTATCGTAATCATAATCATAATCATAATTTTTATTGCATCCACAATGTAAGATAAGATGGTAATAATATGTATGGTACCAATCATGGATCCTGATGGGCACAGCAAATAGTAAATTAGAAGAGAGGCAGGCTTGTTTTATATAGAATTTGCACAAGTATTTCATATGTTTTTATAATAACTATCGTGAGACATACTAAATTAACTAAAATTCGCGGGTTACTCACGTGTAAATGTTGAGAAAAGCTCTACTAGTTTCGAACCACAGAGGGGTTCTTCCTCATGAGCAGCGTGCGCGGACGCGGCGACGTCGCGCAGCCTACTGTGGTTCGAAACTAGTAGAGCTTTTCTCAACATTTACACGTGAGTAACCCGCGATTTTTAGTTAATTAAGTATTTCATATTCTAAGTATGTATAGTATTGCTATTATGTTTATATTTTAATAGGTATTTAGATATTATATATGAGATGTATAAATATATTATATTTATCGGGGAAGGCTACGACCTAAAGGAGCAGACCAGCGGGTGAAACCGCGGGGATATAGCTAGTGTTATATAGGTACAGGGGACATAATTGCAAATAACAGCATTCTTAATTAAAATAATTAAGATTGAATGGTGTATTAATTAAGAAATGTTAGTTATGACTCACGTGGTCCTGTTCTGTTCTGATGAGACGTATGTATGCTGGTGTTCAGCGTGGACGGGTATGGGGACGGTGGTGGGGTCCTGGTCCGCGGGCACTTCGTACGTGTATGTCTTCACCGTGGTCGTCACCTTGTTCATGGGGGTACTGCCACGGGGGAGCTGGTGATCAGAAAATTCAATATAAAAAAAAGTTGTGTTCCGCCGTGTGGGTGAGGTTACCGGAGGTCTAATCGGACCTCTCCGACCTATCTAGATCGGAGAGGTCTATCTGAGCTATCCGACCTCCTTATTCCCAAAAGGCCAGCAATGCACTTGTAACTCCTTTGGTGTTGCGGGTGTAGATGTGCGGCGCCGATTACTTACCATCAGGTAATGCGTCAGCTAATTTGGCGACTTTACCCATAAAAAATGTTCTTTTTAAAGTTCATTAACCTTTTGGGTGTCTCCGTTCGATAAGTCTAGAGATATACTTTTGTGGCGTATAATGTCGTGTCGCGACAGAAAGTTAAGACACGCAGGTTTGTCTTTAACTTAAAAGTTTGAATCCGATAAGCTTCTGCAGTGTCACGACACGCCAAAGTACGTTTGGTCCTCACCTATGAAGTTGCCATTCAACCGTATTTCCCATTTCAAATCACGATATTTACATATGACCTATTACTCCAGACTTTTACTAAAAACAAAAATTTGGTTCTTTAAAATGGCGTTGTTGGTACGTTTCAAGACGTTTTCTGATCGGTGACCTCAGCCGATATAGGCTCATTGGCCCAGTTTTTCTTTTTTGATTGGCTAAGCGTTCTCTGTGTATGTAAAACCTCACAGAAGACCGGCGTGAAACAACCACAGCGTTGTGTTTCGCCGTGTGAGTGAGGTTACCGGAGGCCCAATCCTTCCCCTCCCCCAATCCCTCCTTATTCCCTAAATCTCCAAATCCCTAATCCCTAAAAGCTCGGCAACGCACTCGTAACTCCTCCGTTGCGAGTGTCAATGGGCGGCGCTGATTGCTTACCATCAGGTAATCCGTCTGCTCGTTTGCCGACCTATTAAATAAAAAAAAAAAGTATGTAAAACTACTACAAATGTATTGTAAAACTGATTGAAAAAGAGTAACCATGGAGTTTGTTGCTCGTTCTTCTCCATAGGAATCAACACTTTGGAACGAGCAAATAGCTTCACTAGAGGACAGACGGACAATCTGACATGCTTAATTTTAAAGCTCTTCATATAGGTACTTTTTTCCTTTTTTGCTAGACGTTCAAAAGTGCCAACTATGGTTTAATTGAAATAAATGATTTTGACTTTTGACTGTTTTTACGGAATGCGGGGCAAACGAGTAGACGGATCAACTGATGGTAAGCGATCAGTGTCGCCGTATACCTTTAACACCAAAGGAGTCACAGGTTCGTCTGCAGCCTTTTAAGGAGTACGCTCGTTTCACTATAAAACTTTGTGACACACTAGAATTATCTCCCGTTTCATGTGTGCGTTTACAAACATACAATTTCACATACACATCACACCCAGACCCGGAACAACAATTTGTGGATCACACAAAAAGTTGTTCCGTGCGGGATACGAATCCGCGACACGTTGAGCGGCAGCCAGTTGCCCAGCCACCGCGCCAACCGTGCAGTTATACTTACAGTGCCGGTAGAGGGCGCGTGGTGGCAGTGGGTGCAGACAGGAGCTGGCACGAGCTGAGGGACGGCGGGAGACACCTGGGATGGCACCACGCGGGACTCTGGAAAATAACATTTTGATATTAAAACTTAAATGACAAAAGGATTTTGTGTTCAATTACCTGGTCGGGTAAAGGAATTCGAACTTTGTTTTATCTATACCAATATTATAATGCTGCAGTTTGTTTGTTTGATTGAACGCGCTAATCTCCAAAACTACTGGTTCGAATTACAAACTCAGAGGTCCGACACCGACGTCTTTTCAAGTCCAGACAATGTAAAAATAACATAAAGTGAGACAACCGTGCAAGTTCATTCTGTAGTGGTCTTTTGAGGAAAGAACCACACCAGTTTAAGTAGACCCGTTCTGAAGACAGGCACGCAAGTGTCAGTTTACAACCAGTATAGCTAACGGGTGCTGCTGAGTTGTCCGACGAACGTTGTGGGTTTAACGTCAACGAGTGAAGCTTACCAGTTTTCTCCTCCCTGTAGACCTCCTGTCGGACTTCAGCAGCCCTGGTGACGGTGGGGGGAGGAGGGCTGGATCCCCACGAGGAGGTCTCCACGCGTTCCTCTCGCTTCAACGTTGAGTAACCGCTTGATGGAGCCTTGGCTGGGGTGCTGGGAACATTTTACTCAGGGTTAGGTAAACTTTTAGATTATGGTCGTAAATTACAAGTAGAGGGCGCTTCTTCTACACAAGACTGTTTGCTCTAGTCTAACCATCAGAGCCCAGCAGTAGACTGTCACTGGTTGGTGGTATTTATATTTTTTGGTGTGGTTCTTTCCTCAAAGTTGAGGTCTGAAGCAATGGCCATTCCCAAGAGCTGAAGGCGGTCGGTGCATTCCAGGGATACATCCCGAAAAGCAGGGGCCAAGTTGAACGGGCTCCTTATGGCGGTGAATAGACACGCCTGTGTTTTGTGCCATTTATCGAAGAAGGCTATAAAACATCAAACATCATCTTTATGAGCTGAGCAGCAGAAGAAACCGCGGAAGACTACCTAGCGGTATTATAAGAGGAAGTTAATACAAGTATTTTAAAGCAAAGCTTACCCTTTTCTGTAGTCAAACGAAGTGCTCTCAGCCGTATCGGATGTGTATCCATCTGTAATATTACAACTCAGATTAAAACTTCACAAAGCTTACAAGGATCTGTTTGGTAAAATTCGGCCATTTTGCACCTTTCAGTGTTGATCACCAAAAAATTATTAGATAAGTGTATGAATTTAATAGCTGTACAATGGAACGATTGAATAAAAAGCTGACAAAATAAATGTCGTAGTGGACCAGAAGTTAACGGGCTCGCTTCTCATACATGGGCTCGAAACCTGGCAAGTACCAATGTAATTTTTTCCGAGTTACATGTACTTTCTATGATTATTTAGACACCACTGACATACGGTAAAAGGAAACATCGCGAGGAAACCAGGACTTATAATTTCTAATTATTAGTCTGTAATCATTAATCGGGCTTGAGCAATCTTGCTGAATAATGCTCAAACCTTCTCCGTGTGAGAAGAGGCCTTTGCTCAGCAGTGGGCACTTATAGGCTTCCACGATGTTTTCCTTCATCGTATGCCAGTGGTGTCTAAATAATCGTAGAAAGTACATATATCCCAGACAAATTACATTAACACTTGACAGATTTTGGACCCGCACCCTCTTGCTCGAAATGCGGTCGCTTAACCTCAGGGCCACCACGACGTGTATGTTAGTAAAATACTCTTAAAGGAACCCATCACCAAGTTAACATACCCTGGGTCTTACTTTTGTAAAGCTGTCTCTCCTGGTCCTTCTGCAAGTCGTCCAGGAGTGAGTCCAGCTCCTCCACGTTCTGAGACAGGTCCTTGGTCACCTTTGAACTCTTCACCTTGGAGTAGCCTGGAGGATTAAGGGTAAACTTGAGTTTACATCAGCACTAAAGTATAAGGCACAGGTCAGTTTTCGGTGAAGCTAATAAACGCAACGAAACGAAAAGAACGTAATAAAAATCGCTTATCTTTTCCTCTTGACAACTTGTTTTTTACTTTTTATTTTCATTTTTAAATTTTTAAAACCTCCCTCCTCCTCCGAGGGAGAGAGGCATTGGGCCACGCCAACGGAGGATTTGTCCTAAACAGTTATCCCACGGCTTTCAAAGTTTTAAAGTACAGATGCTCTTGGCAGTTGACAGAATTATTTTTTTTACTCTGCCTAAACATATCAGGCATCCTTTTTTTTTGTCAGGGGAAAATCATCAAATGGCTACTCCCACCCAGGGTAAGGCGGAGAGAGAGTGACAGACTTTTACTGACTATACCATCTACAGTCTTATAGGACCCCGCCTGTGGTGGTCTCCTGGCTCTTAACACTACGCGCCGTGAGCTCGGGTCTGGTACTGGCAGGGCGGCGAGCTAACCTTACTCGCCGTCCACGCGCTTACGGTGGCCGGATATCATCTCTCGATTCTCGACGCCCGAAGTGTCCCCTACTGCGGTAGCTGAGGCGTGTGGAGGATAGTTCCCTCACGCGCTCCGTCTCCTCCTTTGCAAATGGTATATAAGTTACCTGGAGTGGAGCTGATGGATGACTCGTAGTTGTATGTGCGAGTGCCTGAGCTGATGGCTGGCAGCTCTCTCTCTTCCCTCTCGTAGTAATACGAGTTGGACTCAGAAGACTTTGGCACGGTTCTCGGGGGAATTGTGTATTCCTGGAAAGAAAGAAATATCATCCTTTAAATTGCGTGTTATATAATGCTTTATGTTGGTCTGGACTATTTTTAAAGATTGCGCCAGAAGTGCAAATCTTAACCATTTTTGTCAATGGAAATGGATACATCGTTGATCGATTGATCGTTAGTCGCTCAGAATGATAGGTAGATTATATACTAAATAATCTTTATATGTATTTTATACAACCTTTTTAATATAAAAAGACGTACCTATCAAGATTGTTTACAATTAGATTAACTACTACTTAAACCAATAGACCGTACAAAAGCAGTATTTTACCATTGCCTTCAATGTTCAATCCGATGACTAGGTGCTGATGTCATACTCATGCAGGCTGACGTTTCATCGCCATTTTATAGTATTTCACTTCTACAGCTTATTTTACGATTGTAACATAAACAAAAATATTTTACCACTGAAGATTCTAACTTCGATAACCGGTCACAACAACTTACTAGCTTTTGCCCGCTACTTCGTTCGCGTGGAATACTGACTTCCTGCAGATTTTTGGTATAAAAACTATCCTATGTCCTTTGTCGAGTTACAAACTATGTTTGTACAAAATTTCACAGAAATCGGTTCAGTAGTTAAGGCGTGAAGAAAAGACAGACAGACAGAGTTACTTTTGCATTTATAATATTAGTTTGGATGAAGGACGTTCTTAGTTTTCAGGATTAATAAATGGGCATAGGATTTACAAAATATCCTGTTTAGAAATGTTATTTTTTAAAGCCTTCTCAAAAAGTCACATTGATACTGTCCAGGTACGAACCGGCACCCTTAAACACCCAGATGAGAAGCAGACGCCTTATCTTTGGCCACCATGACATCAAGAAATTATTAAAATCAAGAAATTATAATTATTTTCTATAAAAATCGTTGCCCCTCCCTACATTCAAACATACATATCAGAACCACACCCGGAAGAACAACTTGTAACCTTTACAAAAAATTCTTACCTCAACAGTATGCAGGTCCTTCCTATCATACTTTCCGGAGGGATGTTTTTCCTCTTTGTACTCGTAGTGGTACTCCCGAGTCCCTCCTCCACGTCCCAGGGAGTCCAACTTGCTGCCTTTTGGTATTAACTCTGATTTTATCATGTCTGTGAAGGAAATATTGAAAAATGTTGAAATCAGCGCTTAAGTCGTGTCTTGCCTTATGAGGGTAACGGATCCCTAATCTGCCCCTAATCCCTTAATTAAAGACCTGCAAAGCATTTGTTACTCCTCTGATATTGCCAGTACCTATCCATAGGTGAAATTATATGATCCATGATCAGTTTCCCATTAAGAAAATAGCACAATGAAAATATTGGACCGGAGTGATACCACGGCCTTACACGTGAAAGGCGTGAAACAACCACAGCGTTGTGTTTCGCCGTGTGAATGAGGTTACAGGAGGCCCAAAAGCCACACCCACTAATATCCCTTCCCAATCCTTATATCTGCAACACTTATCCCCAAAAGACCGCCAACAAACTCGTAAATCCTTTGGTGTTGCGGGTGTTCATGGGCGGCGCCGATTGCTTACCATCAGGAAATTCGTATACACGGTGCCGATTCATTGAAAAAATTGCCCCGTGATTGAGGTTACCGGAGGCCTAATCCTTCCACCCATTCTGAATCTTCAAATCCCCTATCCTTAAATCCTTAATATCCCTTCAGAAGCCGGCAACGCATTTGTACTACGGGTGTCTACAGGGAGTGCTGATTGCTTACCATCAGGTAATCCGTCTGCTTTTTTGGCGACCTATGACATAAAAAACTAAATTTCCATTTCTTTAAGATTTTTTTTTCAATAAAAATGAATGATCTTCTTACCAAATTGTTCGTCTGTGTAAGGTATGGTACCGCTGGATGAGGAATACTCCTTGAACTCCTTGTGCTTACTGTACGATTTTGTCGTCATGGTGACTGCTATGGGTTATCTGAAACAATGGAAAAATTATAATTAGTTAACTTATTGATATCTAGAAAAAATATTACTTATAATCCGAACCGCTAAGGAGTTCGTTGCCGGAGTGTGTTTCCCCGAAGGGTATAACCTGGTTGTCTTCAAGGCCCGCGTGAATCGGTTACCTATGGGTAGGCGTGCTCCATCGCAGGTCGCATTATCGTTTACTACCAGGCGTGACAGAAAACCACTGAAATTTTAAATGTGGGAGAACCACGCTTCGGCATGAATGGGTTGGCTCGACCGGAGTGATTTCACGGCCTCACATAAAAGCGGCGTAAAAGAACCACAGTGTTATGTTTCGCTGTGTGAGTTATGTTACAGGAGGGCCTAATCCTTCCCCGTCCCAATCCCTAAGTCCCCAAAACCCTAATACCTAAAAGGTCGGCAACGCACACGTAACTCTTCCGTTGTTGCGGGTGTCCATGCCATTAAGTAATACGCCTGCTCGTCCGTAATAAAATCGAAGGCAAATCCTATACCGGAGGTCATAAGTGACCAAAATGGCGGTTAACGTTTTAAAAAAGGAACTATGAACAACCGACCATGAAAAGTCAACCTCATAAAAATAATACAACAAATAAAAACAGCTACCTAGTAAAACATTGCAGCATACTGCCCTACCTATTCCACAAATCAGAGATGCACGTCGAATCTTTTGAAATTTATTTGGTTTTAAATCTTGTTCGAGTGTGAAGTGAGCGTAGAAGTGACGGGGAAATTAAATTTTAGAATGCCACTTTTAACGTCATCTCATACTTTATCTATCAAAATGTTGCGGTCAATTTAGTTCAACTCGCAAGTGTAGCGCTAGTGTACTACTACTCACAGCGGATTCAGATTCGAAGTTTAGAACTAAGTCTTACAGAATCACACTGCTGCAGTGTTACCATCAATCCGTTACATTAGACAGACGTTTGACATTTGAGAAATGACAGGAGCTGCGCCTACGCACCTGCAGCGACCAGATAACGTTTCACCGCCAAATAAGGTGCGACCTGTGGCTTTGAAGTATTTAGTACATAGATTATACATACATATACAAATATATTATATGTCAATACTAAAGTCGTGGGCGCCCGCTTCTCATGCATGAGGGTATTTTTTTTGAGAGGGGAAAATCATCAAATGACTTCTCCCGACAGCAGGTCGCAGTGCCTCATTTCGCTGACCCCGCAACCTAGGCTACATGCATGAGGGTGCTGTTTCGAAACATTGCTAGTGCCAATGTAATTTTTTCCGAGTTATATGTACTTTCTACGATTATTTAAATATCATTGAGGAAACCTGGACTTATAATTTCTAATTATAAGTTTGAAATCGCCAATCCGCCTTGAGCAAGCGTGGTGATAATGCTCAAACCTTCTCCTTGTGAGAAGAGGCCTTTGCTAAGCAGTGGGCACTTATAGGCTGATGATGATGATGATGATGATGCTGATTATACTAATGTTGCCTAAAGTAGCTAGTACTTTCCAGTTTCAGTTCAGTTGACGAAAAGGTGACGTTAAAAGTGGCATTCTATAACGTAATTTTCCCGTCACTTCGACGCTCACTTTACACTCGAACAAGATTTAAAATGAAACTAAATTTATAGAATCGACGTGCAGGATAAGAACGGTCTGGTTCTTAGTCAGTAAGACTCTAACACACTCTCGCTTCACCAAGGTTCAGGTTTGCACAAGTCCCACCTCTTGACACCAGGAACTAAGGTAACTGTGCAATGCAACTTTTTAAAGCTTATGACCGTGATCCAACAAAATATTGCCCGTACTTTTTCAAAAGGGGCATTCATGTAATAATGACCTTTTTAAATGTACGTGTTTGCATATGCTTTGCTAAGAACAGCTGCCAAAACGATAGGTGCATAGACCATGTCTAGACTTTTTAAATGTCAAACAAGTTTTTGACAACAAGTTTGTATTTCACTAGCCGAATCAAACCATTTGAATTTCGACATTATAATAACAGAGGGATAAAGTAGAAAATGTCTTGTAGGTATTTGACAGAGGAGGATGTTGATCCGCTAGCGTGTTTACTCGTAGATTAAGTGCTGGCATTATTTTTGAACATTTCTTACTATAAGGATCTAATAACAAGCTACTCTCGCTCGGTTTCACCCGCTGCTCAGCTCCATTTGATCGTAGCGTGATGTTTTATAGCCTATAGCACTCAGGAACATTGTGGCTATCTATCAGTGAAAGAATTTGGCAATCCGACCAGCGGTTCCAAAGATTACCCCCTACGTATACAAACTTACAAACCGAGTTACAAAATTTTCCTCTTTATAATATTAGTACTGTATTTTTACGACTTGAGTTAGAATTTTTAATTTACAACGAACTGATTTTGTTTTATTTTAAAAAAACCTAGCATTGAACATCCTAATTTCCAAAAAGAACTAAATACTTTCCAAAATATGATTAGTAGCAAGTATGCGCGTACGCAGACCAAACGATCTACACACAAAATGAACCCTAAATCGCGCAAGTGACATTTTCGTGGCAATAATTACGTGTAATAGAGATTATGAATATATTTTGGGGGTCATGTACCTCAAGGGAAGCCAGTGATCGCCAAGCTGGTCTAACTTGGCGAACGCTCAGAAGTACACCTTTCCATGGGTGTAAATACTCAAACGCCAATCAACAAACTATACACCGTTGGTTGGGCTCGACTGAGTGCTTTTAAAGCACCTTTCTACCCCACCCGGCGGCGTGGGATCATCCCCGGAATACCCACGACGCGGGGCAGGGGTGGGAACCTAAGAGGTACGATTATAACACTATGACACAAATTGTAGGGTCAATTCGACCCCCCCTCTCTTTTGGTTTCTTATTATGAATAGGTTTCTTTTTAACTAAAAATTGCGGGTTACTCACGTGTATATATTGAGAAAAGCTCTACTAGTTTCGAACCACAGAGGGGGTCTTCCTCATGACTTACTTATTTAACATTTGTTGTAAATACGTATTTTTAATTGATTAACTAGCAGCTCACTGACCCACGATGATGTTTTTCTACATCGTTGTCAGATATTTGTTTTGTTAGCCAACTACTACAGCAAAGAAAGATCGATAACTAAAAGGCTATGATGCTACTAAAAGACAGACTTCATTCATAATTCGAATATCGATTTAAAATGTCGCACGCTGCTCATGAGGAAGAACCCCTCTGTGGTTCGAAACTAGTAGAGCTTTTCTCAATTTACACATGTGAGTAACCCGCGATTTTTAGTTAATTTAGTATATCTCACGATTGTTATTATAAAAACAGGTTTTATAATAACTATCGTGTACTACTTGTGACCTTGTATTTAGCTTTTTTAGGATTGTAGTTGTTTTTTTTTTTACATTTCTTTTCATATCGTAATAAATGAAAACTTGGTACTTTCAGGGAAAATATAATAATACTCAAGTAGGTATCTTTTATGAATAATTTTTATTTATAAATGCCTAAACATCAGTTTTGGCTTTCCTGGTACTGGTCTAATTCGATTTCGTGATTACAATTATAATCATATCTTAATAAAAACATAAATTAACAGATTTTATTTCTATACATATAATATAATAATATAATAACTACGGAGTTTATTTAATTATTCAATAACACAGTTGTACTAGTTTGGTAACATTATTAAGACAGTAAAGGATAGCAAAATAACTCGGGTAATGTGAAAACTTCTCATAATTATCATTATGCAGGTAGATCGGTAGATCATTAACAGCTTGACAACATAACAATTGGGTAGTTTCCTAGGTCAAAAATAAATTAATTCGACGTTTTAATACGATAAAATATTGAAAAATAACTATACTTTTATTCATCGATCGATCGGTACACTAAGTTTTAGATATTTTTTAGCTATTTTTTTTTAAATAAGTAAGCTATTTGACTCAAAAATGCTATTACGTCATAATTCAATTTTTCATACAATTTTCATAGCAAAAGAATCGTTTTTGACATTTGGATAAAAGTATTGAATTTGACTAGTTGGAAACAACCGTATAATTACAAAGGAGTTGCATCGCGCAAGTGACATTTTCTCACAAATAAGCATAAGACATGAATTTTTTCCTTAGTTCTCAGGGGTCCATGATCTCAAGGTAAGTCAGTTGTCGCCAAGCTGGTCTGAATTGACGAACAGTCAGATGTACCCCCCGTTAGGGGTGTAAATGCCGATCAACCAACTACACACCGTTGGTCGCGCTGGACTGAGTGCCTTAAAAAGCACCAATCTCCCCCCCACCCCCGGACATGATGGATGCCCCCGCGGTGATCGGGGGTGGAGGGGCGATTACCTAAGAGATCAAAAACAATCGGAGCGCACGTATCCCATAGACCCCACTTTTTGCTATATTTTTTTTTTTCATTATTCACATGGAGCGAATCAAACTGTTATGGTATACATAACAGTTTGATTCGCTCCATGTATTAATGTTTTAGTTTGAAATGTATTTTCTCATCACACCTAGTTAATTAAACTTTGGCTTGAGTTTTAGCAGTGGTTGTCACGGGTTCGATTCCCGCACGGAATAACACTTTGTGTGATTAACAAATTGTTGTTTCGGCTCTGGGTGGTTTGTCTATGTGAATTTGTATGTTTGTAAACGCACCTACGACACAGGAAAATATCCAAATGTGGGGTAACTTTTTTATAAAATAAAATAAAACTACTTACTACTTTAAAATTTCAAATAGTTTCAAACATCATTTACTAGCTTTTGCCCGCGACTTTGTTCGCGTGGAATAGTGACTTCCTGCAGATTTTTGGTTTAAAAACTATCCTATGTCCTTTGTCGAGTTCCAAACTATGTCTGTACCAAATTTCACACAATAGGTTCAGTAGTTTAGGCGTGAAGAAAAGACAGACAGACTGATAGACTACTTTTGCATTTTTATACTTAATATTAGTTTGGATTTATTTGAAGTTATTTAAAATTAGTAGTAAATGCGTAGTTTTTATTGATTAAC